ACCATTTAAGTGCAACATCTACCAATAAATTGGAAATGAACAAATTAGTTTAAGTTGCTCTTATTCGAAAATTAAAGAACGAAACCTGATGGTTTTTTTTTATTATTTGTCACAATATCTTGTGGAATTCTTTCGAGTATCTCGCCTATATAATCTGTATCGTTTATTATAGTGTTGTAGGGTATTCAACGGTCGGCCCCGCTCGACTGTAGCCTTTGCTTACTTGTTTTTTCTTAATTTTGCTGGAAAGAACACTATTTATGTGGATATAAACCAGTGTTTATTATTCCTGGCTGTTTTTATTTTTCACTTGCGCCACTCCACGAATAAAAAAAAAAAACAAAAACGAAACAAAAGAAAACTACAAACAACAAAGTTAGTTCTGCAAAAGTTGGAACACACATTTCCACATTAACAATTTAATTTTTCTTTTTTGTGTTTTTATTATTGTTGTTATGTTGTTTGGTTGAAACAAAAATCCTTTTTCTGAATGCAAAACAAAAACAAATCATAAACATTATATGCAACAAGAGCAAAACCAACTCCTTCTCCTCCGTCCCCCTCTCACCCACTTCTCTCTTTCTTCTTTTCGAAAGCTAACCTCACAAAAAAAAAAAAAAAAAACGTTGATTTCTGTGTTGTTACTCGAATATTATTTGTGTTTTCTGTTTTTTCGTTTTCTTTTTTTTTTTTTCTTTTTTCAACTATTTTTCTCTACTCTACTACTTTGTATTTGAATCTTTCGAACAAAATCGAAACAAAATCCAAACTTTTTTTCTCTCTCAGCTGCCAATGAAAGTAAGTATTTGGTACTTTGGTAATCTCCAAACACTACCACTACCTCTAACTATCTTCAGCAACACCTTCGTTATGTTAAGCGTTTGTTTTTGTCACCAAATCATTTTTAATTCATGTTCGGTTTCAGTATGTGTGGACCGTCGTTCTATAGGATAGTGCTATTAGTTAGGCCTATTTCACATTTTCGAATAAAGAGAATAATTACCCACCTGTTTTTCAGAAATGAAGAAGGGTATTACTCGAAAATGTGAAACTGATCCTTAGTTTTTATTTTAGTCGATTCTTTCTGTGTTTTTTTTGGTTACATATTTATTTGTTACACTAGTCTACAAAACACTTTACACTTAAGTCATAAAACATCCGACACAATTCATGTCTGGCTTTTAGCTACGTGGGCTTTATTAAGTGTTTTAGTGCTTTTTAAAAATGGATCATAGAAACCACGTTATATATATATTTAGACACTTACATATACATAAATGTGTATATATAGATGTTTTATAACAATATCGGAAATTCCAAAAAAATATATATTTATATGATAATAGTTATTTGTTTATTACTAGATGTTAATTTAAAATTAATATTCAATTAGGTTGACTAAATAAAAAGTATGTAGTTTTTTTAAAGTATATATGTTAAACAAGTAAAATAGTATTAGTATGTCTTGTCGACAGATTTATACCCTCAGCCTTTGTGGTGGAGGTTCCGAAGCAGTTGCCCAATATTGAATAATTCGTATCTGACCTAAGACTGATAAAAATATTACATCGTGCCAGATTTGGACTATAACAACTACTACCCATACTTTATATGAGATATGTGCAAATTTTTGGAAAATGTGGAAATATGCGTGGGGTACCCGATAAAGCGGACCGAAGTATTCCATTTTCGTACTTCATCTAATATAGATAAAAATATTGGTATGCGAAAATTTTGAAGGAAATCGAACATTTATTTCCAATTCTATGCGAAATCATAAATTTCGGTTAATTGAGGGTGAGATGAAAAAACTGCAAGCAACTTCAGACTGCTGTCATTTCTAAGCCACTCATCCGACAGCTGTTAAAATTATTCCAGTTACAGCTCATTATATTGTTTACAAGCGTACAAAAGCATTTTGGTGAGAATTGTTCAGAAAAAAAGTTATTCGTGATGGAATTCAAGCGTGATAGTGTGATTTCTTTATATTTGGCTGGAAAACCACAAGTGGCTGTGGTTAGAGCACTCCAGTATTGAAATGCGAATAAATCTTTTTTGTCTCTTACCATCACTCGTTACCGTGATACTGGTAGCGTAGCCCGACGTCAAGGAAGTGGATGGAAGAAAACAGCAAAATCAGCAGAAATGGTTCGAAAAGTAAAGAAGCGATCACAGCGTCGCAGTGGCCGTAAAATGGTTTGTGAACTGAATATATCGCCATATTACATTCGGTAAATATTGAAAAATGAGCTCGGGGTATAGCCATTGGCCATATAAATTTCAAAAAGTACAATAACTTACACCCCAACAGAAAGAAAATAGACAAAAGAGCTAAAGAGTTGCTTCGCTTGGCTCAAAAGTGGTGAACTGCCTAATTTGGTTTTCAACGATGAGAAAACATTCGTTGTTCAGCAGTTTGTAAACAAACAAAATGATCGGGGTTACTTGCCAAAGAGGTCAGCTGATAATCTGCACCTTCGGTAGGCCACCAGAACTCAAGCGCTGGCCATGGTGATGGAATGGGCCGCCATAACAGCTCTCCGCTTGTATTAATCAACCGTGGCATCAGAATAAATGCCAAATATTATCGCGAAAATATTCTGGAGGGTGTATAAAAGCCTTGGGCACGCAAACTTTTTGGCCGCAGACCTTGGACATTCCAACAGGACTCGGCACCATCGCACTCAGCACGCGCCACCCAAGAATGATTACAAAATGAGGTTCCTCGCTTCATTTCCAATCCGCACAATGGCCACAAAAATCTCCGGATACCAATCCGTTGAACAATTGTGTCTGGAGTAGTTTGGAAAGCAAGATTGGCGCTAAAAAATACCAAAGTGTCGATCACCTGAAGCAAGTGCTTCGCCGGGAATGGGCCAAAATACGGCAGAGCAACATTCAGGCAGCGTGTGACGGTTTCATTGGCCATAATTCGTTGCCAAAGGTGACCAATTCGAACAAATCTAAACTTATTCTAAAATTTGATGCTATTTCCAAAATTTTTTGCTTTCATTCAATAAAATTAAAAAAAAAAATGTAAAAATTATGGCGTTTGACTTTGTTGCAGTTTTTTTATCTCATCCTGTATGTAATTTGAAGAGAAGCGGATGCTTATTTCGGATTTTATGACTGTTTTGGTTATTCGAAACATTGAAACTTTGTGGGGGAGGTACCAGCGGGAATGGTCCCATCTCTACCATCTTAATAACAGATCTTTTGCTGATGGAAATATTGAGATGTGTCAGGTCTGAATGGAATCGGATGTCAATTTCGTGTTTTAAAGCTCATGAATATTCAAAAATTTGACCCCTTGTAGGGGAGGTACCAGAAGGAGTTTACCGATTTCTTCCATCTTCACACCAGATCTGGGGTTAGTAAAAATATTGTGATGTGTGTAATTTGAAGGAAACAAAATGCTTATTTCGGATTTTATGATAGTTTTGGTTATTCAAAATTTTGACCTTTGTGGGGGAGGTACCAGAAGGAATGGTCCGATCTCTACCATTTATAACAGATCTTGTGTTGATAGAAATATTGAGATGTGCCAAGTCTGAATGGAATCGAATGTTAATTTCGTGTTTTAAGAGCTTCATGAATACTCAAAATTTTGACCCTTTGTGGGAGAGGTACCCGAAGGAGTGGACCGATATATCCCATCTTCACACCAGGCCTTGGGTTAATAAAAATATTGTGATGTGTGTAATTTGAAGACAACCGGACACTTACATCACATTTTATAAAAGTTATAATTTTTCAAAATGTTAACCCTTTGTGAGGCAGGTACTTGATGGAGTTGACAGATATTGTCCATTTTCGCACCTGGCCTTGCACTGACAAAAATATTAGGATTTGCAAAGTTGAAGCCAAATCAGATTATACATTCTCTTTCTGTGCAGTAAATTATTTTCCTTGAAAATGTTCGCATTTTGTGAGGGAGGTACCAGAAGATATATGGTTCCAATATTGCCCATCTCCAAAATCGATCTAAGTTTGACAATAATATTACGATGTTCCAAGTTTGTATTAAATCGGATACTCTCTTCGAGAGTTATCGCCAGCCAGCCAGACAGACAGATGGACGTACGGACACCCCTAGATCGACTCCAAATATCGTGAAACGAATTTGGTCCAAAGAGACCTAGGATCTAAAACCATTATTTCAATGATGCACGTTTTGGCCTTAGTAAATTATATGTACCCTCTCTAGCCATATGGCTAAGGGTATAAAAAAGGGCTATATACTTTTTTTATGGTCTATAGCGGACATTTTGAAAAATTCAAAAATTAAAGCTGAATTAACAAACCTCTAACAAACAGGGCTCAAAATTGCATTAAATAAAATAAGTAAAAAAAATCCAATAATATGGCTATGATAAACTTCCAAACTGTTTCAAATACCTACAGTGAAAATATGTTAAAAGATTCTGATAAATCGGTTCCTGAAAATTTACCACATTCTACTTGAAAAAATTTTAGAAAAAATATATTTTAATTTTGAGAAATAAAGCTTAGATTTAGATCTTAGATGCCATTTTATTTAAAAAAATCTTAGAAAAAATTTAAGCATTTTCATTATTACCCTTGGAAACACTGTGCCATGTAATGTCTAAATTTTACTCACATCGCAATACCATTTTCGGCTAATAGAAAGTAGTAATAAGTAAAATATTCGAATTGGTTGGCTAGCTAGCTGAATGGCACAAAAGGGCTTACTGTGTGGTGCGAACTCCTCAGACAGACATTTTGGGCATTTAAAGCCTCTTTTTGTTTTCGCAAAGCAGCTCGTCGTCACCCGCCGCCCTCCCTCCATATATTCGTTACATATTGTAGAAATGTACTTCTCATCGATCATTCTCATTCACTAGCCAATACTCTCATATCCAATTTTATTTTTTTGATTTGTTTACTTTTACTGAACTGAGAAGAGTTGTTTCCATAATTGTCTTGCCGTCGATACTCATCGTTTTCTGTTTTCCTTCAAAATTGTCATTTCATTTTAGGGTATGCCGGAAGCCTGGGCACGTTTGCTTATGAATTCGAACATAAGCAAACAGGAACAGAAGAAAAATCCTCAAGCTGTATTAGATGTGCTCAAGTGGTTCGATAATACCACCAAACAGAGGCCAAGTTCCAAGTACATGACAAATGCCATAACCACACATTCGGGTGAGTGGGAAACTTCAATACAGATTTTTTTGTAATACTGAAAATATATGTCCTTGTTTTTCAGGATCCTCATTAAGTCGAGTGAGCAGCAGCAGTCCCAGCAGTACACCCACAGACAGTGAATTGCATGGCTCAAACAGTGGTGGCAATTTGATTGGTGTCAATATTGGCAGTTTGAATATTGGCGGTTCCAATTCCAGTGGCTTGATAACGTCTGGCGGTTTAGTTGGCAATCACCATACACCTTCGCATCATCATCTGCAGCAGCAGCAGATACCACATCAGCCACCACATCATCTTCAACAACATCAGTCACCACAAAATGCCTCGTCGCACCATCATCAACATCATCAGCAACAGCAGTCCGCTGCCGGTCAACATGCTACAATTAGTCAATCACATTCATACAACTTTGGTGGCAATACAGCCTCATCATCATCGCAGCATTCGTCGGCGAACGAAGATGACATCTTGGGTACACCTCAGCCGCCACCACCTCCAATTGCTTCACGACCCGAACGTACGAAATCCATTTACACACGACCCATAGAAGATGTTGTACCACAAGCTCCCGCTGTCACGCCCATACTACCACCGCCCACAGCGGCACCTGCGACCACACCAACAACACCGCAACACAACAATGTGGCCCAGCCACAATTTAAAACGCCAACATCCGTTGCCGCCTCAACATTGGACAAGAACAAAAACAATGCGAGTAAGTTTTGCTGGCTGATATACTATTCCACCTATTTTCCAAGCTTTCTTTTTTTATTTCGTTTGAAGTTGTAGTTTTTTTGTTGTTATAATTAATTATTATTTTAACACACGACTTTGATTTGACAATTTAATTTTTTTTGTTTAATATCAAGAACATGTTCACAAATGCATATTAAAAGGTGAGGGAGATAAAGCTGTAGCCTTTAAAAACTTCCTCATGAAAAGAAACCTTTGGAAGTAGAGCAGACCTCTGGATATTTAATGGAAAAATAAGGCATCTTCCATAGGCAATAGAATAACTCAAGAGCCTCTATAAAAAACTTGAAGAACAGTAGGTCTTCTACAAACAAAAGGACGACTAGGACTACTAGATACAATTTGGCACATCAAGGATCCATAAGACCCCAAGGTCTGCTACGACAGTAGGAAATTTTTACGCGTCGATGATGGAAGACCGACCTCTAGGTCTCTCAAAGACAATGCTGACAATAGAATACCTCGAGGTCTTTTATAAACAATTGAAGACCTCAAAATCTTCTACAGCAATAGAAAAGTATTAGATCTCAATAATGGAAGATTTTTGGCTTTCCATAGACAATAAAACACTAAAATAACCCAAGGTCTGCTATAAACAATGTAAGACCTCAAAGTATTCTATAAACATTAGGAAGAATCTAGGTCTTTGATAGGCATTTTAATATCTTTAGTCTTCTTAAGACCTCTGGTTTCTTTTTCGGCGGTAGAAAACTTTTAGATCCCTATAATGCTTTCGACTCTCTTTCCTTAAAAAATGTTTGGACTGATAGTCTAGGAAATGTTCCTTAAAGACTCAAAATTTTCGCCCTGCTATTTCTCCAGAAAAATTCGTTAAAAACCACGAATTCAGCTAAGATAAAAAATACAATTTACAGAAAAAAAATACAATTTAGTTAGCTCTATTAGTTTTTCAGAACTATTAAAGCTCTTATAAACAATTGAATGAGAATGAAATGGGAAACCTATTGGCCTCCTATAGACAGTTGAATGTTTCTAATCTTTTGCAGAACTCTAGGTCTTCTACGGCAAAAAACAACTTATTGATCTCGACAATGCTTTCGACTTCATTTCCTTTAAAATGTTTTCGGACTGAAAAGTCCTAAATATCGAGGAGAGTCCTTCAGAAAGTTTTATTTGGGCACGTTTATAGTACAGCAGCCCTTCTGAAAATGCCCTACTATAAACGTGGCCTTGAAAAAAACTTTCTGAAGACTCAACGATTTTTAGGACAGAGGAGAGACCTTCAGAAAGTTGTTTTAAGGACCCATTTGTAGAAGAGCTTATGAAACTTTTGAAAATGTCCTAAAATCATATTCTTTCAAAAATGTTCCTTAAAAAGTCGACGACCTGATGGCCCTTCCAAAAAGACCTAAATATATTAGCCCTAGTCCCTCAGAAAATGGCCACGATTATAGATCTGATAGCCCTTTAGAAAATGTGCTACATTTGTCAACCCCAGTTCCTCAGAAAAATTATTTCAAAGGCCATGTTTGTAGACCTGATTGCCCTTTAGAAAATGTCCAAAAAATGTAACCTTAGTCTTTAGAAATATTCTTGTAAAAAGCTACGATTATAGCCCAGAAAATGTCCTAAAAACATAAATCATAGCCCTTCGTTCTTTAGTTCTTTAAAAAGGCCACAATCATAGATCTGATGGCCTTTCAGAAAATGCCCCAAAAACCAACCATATTCCCTTAGAAAAGTTCGTCAAAACTGTAACGATTATGGACCTGATGGCCGTTCAAAAACTGTACTACAAATGTCAACAATAGTCCCTAAAAAAGTTCTTTGAAAAAAGCCAATATTGTAGACCTGATAGCCCTTTTGAAAAAGTCGTAAACATGTCAAACCTAGCCCCTCAGAAAAGTTATTTAAAAAGGCCACGATTATAGACCTGATACCCCTTCAGAAAAAAGTTCTTTAAATATGCCACAATCATGGACCTTATGGCCCTTCCGCAAATGTCATAAAAATCCCTCAAAATAGTTCTTTAAAAAGTCAATACACGATCATATCCCTTATGGCCCTTCAGAAAATATCCAAAAAATCGGACATTGTCCTTCAGAAAAGTTCTTCAAAAGGGCCACGATTATATACCTGTTGACCCTTCAGAAAATGTCCTAAAAATGTCAACCATAGTTCCTAAGAAAAATTCTTCAAAAAAAGCCAATAGCCTGATGGTCCCTCTGAAAAGTCCTAAAAATTTCAAACCTAGCCCCTCAGAAAAGTTATTTAAAAAGGCCACGATTATAGGACTGATAGACCTTCAGAAATTGATCTACAAAAAAGTTCTTTAAATATGTCACAATCATGGACCTTATGGCCATTCAGAAAACGTTCTAAAAATGTCAACCATTGTCCCTCAAAATAGTTCTTTAAAAAGTCGATACAGAACTGATTACAATTCAGAAATCATCAAAAAATGTAAACCATAGTTCCTTAGAAATGTTATTTAAAAGGCCATAGAAGACCTGATTGTCCTTCAGAAAATGCCCTGAAACGGCCGCTACCTAGTTCTTTCGAAAAGTTCCTGAAAAGGCCACGATTATAGACCTGATGGCCCTTCAGAACATGTCCTAAAAAATGTCAACTATAGTCCCTTAGAAAAGTTCTTCAAAAAGCCCACGATTGTAGACCTAGTAGTCCCACAGAGAATGTCTTGAAAATCAACCATAGTCCTTCAGAAAAGTTATTTAAAATGGCCACGATTATAGACCTAATGGTCCTCCAGAAAATAAATTATTTAAAAAACGATTTTTGCCTTCACAGTTCTACAGAATAAATTATTTATTTATGATTATGTTGATTATTGATAGACCCGGTAGAACTTTAACTAATCGCTTTAAAACCCACGATTATAGCTCTGGTAGTAGAAACTATTCTAAGAAACCCACCGTTGCTTTTCTGATATTCCTCAAAAGAAAAGTTCTTCAAAAATCCATTATTTTGTTTCCAAATTGTTTTTTTTTTTTTTGGAATAAATTTACGACAGTCCATCGCATCCATCCAAATTTTTCTAAATCTTGCCACAGGGCCGTCAGAAAATTTCTTTAAAATCCCACGTCAGAAAATGTCTTTAGAAGTCAACGATTTTAACTTGAATAGCCCTTCCAAAGAATCCTCATATTACTGCTATGATTCCCTTAGAAAATCCCTACAAAAATCCATGATTATAGACCTAAAATATCTTTGAAAAATTATAGTTCTAGAGGTCCTTAAAAAATCTTTAAAACCCTTAAGTCTCTAAAATTATAAAATCAAAGCTCTGAATGTAGTCCAGAAAGAAAAAGTTCTTAAGTCCTTAAAAAAATAACATTATTGTTCTGATAGCCGTTATTGTACGATCAATATGTCCTCCAGGAAAATGTGTTAAAAATTTCAAATATTAAAAATCTAATAATATCCAATGGAGGCACCCATAGTCCTATAGAGAGTTCTTAAAAATCCACAATTATAACTGAAAAAATCCCGTTACCTTCTATAATTTTTATTCTGAATTTTCTTCAGAAAATCCCTAAACATCTTCGATTATAACTCGGAGATTCTTCAAAAATATTCATAAAAAATCCACAACTACTCCCTGATAGCCCCTAAGCAAAATGTCTTGAAATATCCGCGATTATAGCTATGAATGTCCTTCACAAAAATTTCTAAAAAGAAATATGATAAAAAATCAGAGTATATCCACAAGAACTAACATAGTCCTTTAGAGAGTTCTTAAAAATCCACAAATATAACTTGATAGACCTGGAAAAAATCCCTTTCCACTCTATGATTTTAGTTCTGAATGTTATTCAGAAACTCCCAAGAAAAACTTCAAAATATTCCTTAAAAATCCACAACCCTGATAGCTTCTAAGAAACATGTCTTAAAAATCCGCGATTATAGCTATGAATATCCTTTACAAAAATTTCCCCAAAAAATCTATGATATGAGCCCGGAATGTCCTTTAAAATTTTTTTAAATTCAGGCCAATCCCCAAGTCCCACTTTCTTGGGTCCTGGAAAAATTTTCACTAACAAAAGAATCTCTCCCACCTTTAATATGCATATTTTTATACAACCACAATTTTATTACCAAATTCGCACAAGTTACTTTTTCTTCACCAATCACCCACCCGCCACTTCAAATTAACATAACCTCAAACAAAACAAAATGTGCAAAACTAATTTTCTAAACTCCTTCTATTATTAATTTTCTTGTGTGTGTGCGTGCGTGTTTTTTGTGTGAATTTATGCTAACAAAAAATAATCAAAAAATAAACTCATTAACATTAACTAATCCTGCAACTGCTACAACACAAGCAGCTGGATATGACGCTACAACAACAACTACTACTACTAATCTTCTACTAACGACTGCTGCTGCTACTTCCTCTGTTGCCAATGAGACAGTGGTGGTGGTAGATGCTCCTCTTAATGCTACACCTAGTACTAGTAATCAATTGCAATTTATTGATTGTAATGCTACAACGACAACAACAACAACAACAACCACAACTAATCATGACTCTTCTGCTTCCTCCTTTTCATCGTTTCCTTCGTATCATGATGATATGATGATGGCCACATTACCACCAATTTATTGTCCCTCATCGTCGTCGTCGTTCATTGAATCGATTGCAATGCCGACACCGCCTTTACCCACGCCTACAACCGCCACAACAACAACAATAACATTGCAACAACAAACAATGGATGTTGCTGCAACACCACCCATTGTTGCTGCTGCTGGGGCGGCCTCAACAATAACCACAATAACACCGGCCACCCCGGATGCCACATGTCATGCCCACGATACCCTCATTGCACCTGCTCCAACACCAACTGTCACCATTACAGATTTGTATGCCAACGATGCAAATACAAATAACCTAACAGCAGCCTCAGCTGTGGCAGCCACAGGCTCGCCAGCCGCTGGCGGACAACCAGCGACGGGGGGTACCACCAACACAACAGGTGGTACGACCACAACAACCACCCAACAACGATCTGGAGCTGCGAAAAAGAAAAAAATGTCCGACGAGGAAATTCTCGAGAAGCTACGCACCATCGTTTCCGTAGGCGACCCGAATCGTAAGTACACGAAAATGGAGAAAATCGGCCAAGGTGCCTCGGGCACTGTCTACACCGCCATCGAATCTTCCACTGGCATGGAAGTGGCCATCAAACAGATGAATCTATCGCAACAACCGAAAAAAGAACTGATCATCAATGAAATTCTGGTGATGCGAGAAAACAAACATCCCAATGTGGTCAATTATTTGGACAGTTATTTGGTGTCGGAGGAGCTGTGGGTTGTCATGGAATATCTGCCGGGTGGTTCGCTAACGGATGTCGTAACCGAAACCTGCATGGATGAGGGACAAATTGCTGCGGTGTGTCGTGAAGTTTTACAGGCACTTGAATTTTTACACTCCAATCAGGTTATACATCGTGACATTAAGAGTGACAACATCCTCTTGGGCCTGGACGGTTCGGTGAAGCTGACCGATTTCGGGTTTTGTGCACAAATCTCACCCGAACAATCGAAACGTACAACAATGGTGGGTACACCGTATTGGATGGCGCCAGAAGTTGTGACAAGAAAACAATATGGACCTAAGGTGAGTAGAAATGTCGACATGATTTGCTATGGAAAATGTGGTCGATAATAAGATTTTCTATGGAAAATGTTGCCGATAACATGATTTTCTTTACAAAATCAAGCCGATAACAGATTTTCTTAAAAAAAATAATATTTCTATAAAACATGTATCGATAACAAGATTTTCTATGGACAATGTTATCGATAGCAAGTTTTTTAAGAAAAATTATAACGATAACAAGATTTTGCATGAAATAAGTAGCCAATAATAAAGTTTTCTTTGGAAAATATTAAAGATTTTCCGTAGAAAACGTTTTTGATAACATGATTTTCTATAGAAAATGTTATCGATAACATGATTTTCTATGGAAAATGTTATCGATAACATGATTTTCTATAGAAAATAGTGTCGATAACAATATTTGCTATAGAAAATATCGTCGATAAAATGATTTTCAATTGGAAATATTATCGATAACAAGAGTTTCAATAGAAAATATTGTCGATAAGATGATTTTCAATAGATAATACTATCGATAACAATTCTTTCTATAGAAAATAGAGTCGATAACAATACTTTCTATAGAAAATAGAGTCGATAAACATATTTTCTATAGAAAATAGTGTCGATAACAATATTTTCTATAGAAAATAGTGTCGATAACAATATTTTCTATAGAAAATAATGTCGATAAGTATATTTTCTATAGAAAATAATGTCGATAAGAATATTTTCTATAGAAAATAGTGTCGATAACAATATTTTCTATAGAAAATAGTGTCGATAACAATATTTTCTCTAGAACATAGTGTCGATAAGAATATTTTCTATAGAAAATAGTGTCGATAAGAATATTTTCTATAGAAAATAGTGTCGATAACAATATTTTCTATAGAAAATAGTGTCGATAACAATATTTTCTATAGAAAATAGTGTCGATAACAATATTTTCTCTAGAACATAGTGTCGATAAGAATATTTTCTATAGAAAATAGTGTTGATAACAATATTTTTTATAGAAAATAGTGTCGATAACAATATCTTTTATAGAAAATAGTGTCGATAAGAATATTTTCTGTAGAAAATAGTGCCGATAACAATATTGTCTAAAGAAAATATGGTCGATAACAATATTTTCTACAAATAATATCGTCGGTAATAATATTTTTGCAGAAAATATCGTCGATAACATCATTCTCAGTGGAATATAGTCTCCATAACAGCATTTTCTAATATTCTATAGAAAATAGTTTCGATAACAATATTTTCTTTATAGAAAATAGTGTTGATAAAAATATTTTCTATAGAAAATAGTATGGATAATAATATTTTCTATAGAAAATATTTTCGATAACAATATCTTCTATAGAAAATGGATTCGATAACAATATTTTCTATGGAAAATATTGTCGATAACTATATTTTCTATGGGAAATATGATCGATAACAATATTTTCTTTTTAGAAAATGGTGTCGATTTCCAGAACAGAGATTAATAGAAAATATTGATAACTAAGTTTTCAATAAAAAATACTATCGATAACAATATTTTTCTATTTAAAATAGTCTCGATAACATTATTTTCTTTAAAAAACAGTGTCGATAACAATGTTTTCTACTGAAAATAGTCTCGATAACCATATAATCTATAAGAAATAGTATCGATAACCTATATTCTATTGAAAATAGTTTAGGTAACAATATTTTCAATCGAAAATAGTGTCGATAATATTTTCTATATAGAAAATCGTGTCGATAACAATATTTTGTATATAGAAAATAGTGTCGATAACAATATTTTCTATACAGAAAATAGAGTCGATAACAATATCTTCAATAGAAAACATGGTCGATAGCAACGTTTTCTATTTGGAAAACAGTGTTGATAACAATATTTTCTATATAGAAAACAGTGTCGATATGATATTTTCTATATAGAAAAAATGTCGATAACAATATTTTCTTTATAGAAAATAGTATCGATAACAATATTTTCTTTATGGAAAATAGTGTCAATAACCATATTTTCTATATAGAAAATATCATCGATAACAATATTTTTTATTAGAAAAGTGTGGAAAACAGTGGCGATAAAAATATTTTCTATTAAAAAATAGTTTCGATAACAATATTTTCTATGGAAAATTGTATCGATAGCAATAATTTATATATAAAAATTGTGTCGGTAACAATATTTTCTATTGAAAATATAGATGACAATGTTTACATTATCGATTACAGTGTTCTCTTTTGAAAAGCTATTTTCTAAGAAAATCTTGTAAAATTCAAAGGCTTATATTGAAATGTCGATAACTTCAGATCAATAACTTTTTCTAGTGTTCTGGAATATAAATTTTGAATGTAAACTTATTTTTCCCAGGTGGATTTATGGTCCCTTGGCATTATGGCCATCGAGATGGTAGAGGGGGAACCACCCTATTTAAATGAAAATCCATTGAAAGCCTTGTACCTCATTGCTACAAATGGCAAGCCTGAAATTAAGGAAAAAGAAAAACTTTCGGCAGTATTTCAAGATTTTCTTGATCAATGTCTTGAGGTGGAGGTGGATCGTCGTGCCAGTGCAATGGAACTGCTTAAGGTGAGACGAAATTGTAATATTTCCCTGGTTTTGAGTTTTCATACATCTCTCTTTTTCTTTACAGCACCCATTCTTAAAGTTGGCCCGTCCCTTGGCCAGTTTGACACCTTTAATTATGGCTGCCAAGGAGGCCACTAAGGGCAACTGATTAAAGCAGCAACACTGATTTCTGTTGAAACTTATTTCTTAAAAGAAAAAAGAAAATATATAATTATAAATTTGTTTTAATTCAGTATACAAAATTCATTCATCATTATACCTTATTATTATTATTATGATTATGTAAAACAAAAGAACAATAGACAGACAGAATAATAATAATATTATTATTATTAATGCTAACTAGGAGAAGAAGAAGTGATCCCATGGACAAAGTAAACAATTACAATGGGAATACTTAAAAAAAACAAAACAAAACACTTATATAAATATTTATATATACATAGATATTATTTGCGAAAGAAAATTATGAAAATGAAAAATAGAAACGAAAACAAAACAATACTACTTATATAGATTTTCAAAATAACAAAAGCAACACCCCATAAGAAACAACAACAACAAAAACTCCCAAAATGCAAGTACTTTATATGAGGAAGAAAAAAAAAAGAGTAAACAAAAACCAACTAAAACATTTATTAACTATTATTAAATATAGAAACAAAAAGAAAACACGAAGAGCTAAGAAAGAAACCGACGAGAAATTTAATGAAAATAATAACATTTACTTTAATTTATATTTATAGTTATTATATATATTATATAAATATTAAAAAAAAAGAAGGAACTTATTAATAATAATAACAACAACAACTAAGCAAAAAGGCGTTAAACACCATTGTATTTAAAGTAAACAAAAAAAAAACAACAACAAGCAAAACAACTTTATGAAATCATGTAACTCTTATTTCTAAACTATTATACTTAAAGTCAACCACAACTACCTAACCTAATATTTCTTTTTTTTCTTTCTTTTATTTAAGATTAAACAAAACAAAAATGTTTTTTTAGTATTTTGTTTTTTTAGGGTTTCAGTTTAAAATTTGTATTGTAAAATATTTAGAGGAAATCTGGTCCAATTATTGTTCTATGAAATGTGAAATGGAAACTTTTATAAAGGAAAGAAATGTTAAATGAAATATTTTATAAAGGAAATATTTTTCATTGCATATTTTCATAGAACAAGAATCCAGCACCTGGTCATGGATGGAAAAAGCTTTTCTAAAGCCTTCTTGTTTATACCCTACACCACAAGGTGGTCAGGGTATTATGTCTTTGGGCATTTGTTTGTAACAGGCAAAAGGAAACGAGAAAGACTCATAGTTTCTTTTGATGATCTGCATAGAATCACATTCTAAGTCGTGTCCGTCTGTCCATGTATTTTTTGTAAAAAAGGACAGGCCGCATTTATTACCCGATCCAGTGTAAATTTTACACAAATCATTTGTTTGACCCAAGGACTAACCCTATGGAAATTGGAGAAAATCTGTCAAAATTTAGATAGCTCCCATATATATCTTTGCCGATTTTGTCTTTTATTGTGCACCAGACGTGTAATTTTAGCCCAAATGGGATGAAATTTGGCATTTATGGCCAAATTGGATCTAGAAACAAGTATGTCAAATTTTATCGAAATCGGTTCGGATATAGCTATAGCTCCCACCCACATTATTCATCCGATTTGTTATATTTGTCCTCCACAGCCGTAATATGCACGCGGTAGTAACGAAATTCGGGGAAATATATCAAATACAGCTCAGAAATACCTTTGCCAAATTTTATCGAGATCGGTTTAGATTTGGATATAGCTTCCATATATATCTTCGTCCAATTTGCCCTTTATTGTGCACCAGACGCGTAGTTTAAGCCCAGATGGGATGGAATTCGGCACTTACGACCGGATTGGGTCTAGAAACAAATATGCCAAATTTGTTGAAAATCGGTTGAGATATAGGTATAGCTCACATATATATTGTTCATCCGATTTGTTATTTTTGTCCTCCACAGCCGTAATATGGATGCGGAAGTAAAGATATTCGGGGAATTATATCAAATACAGCTCAGAAATACCTTTGCCAAATTTTATCGAGATCGGTTCCGATTTGGATATAGCTCCCATATATAACTTCGTCCGATTTGATCTTTATCGAGCACCAAAAGTGTAATATTACCCCAAATGGGATGGAATTTTGCACTTACGACCGAATTGGGTCGAGACACAAGTATGTCAAATTTGGTGAAAATCGGTTCAGATATAGCTATAGCACCCATATACATTATTCATCCGACTTGTTATTTTTGTCCTCCACAGCCGTAATATGGATGTGGAAGTAAAGATATTCGGGGAGTTATATCAAATACAGCTCAGAAATACCTTTGCCAAATTTTATCCAGATCGGTTCCGATTTGGATATAGCTCCCATACACAACTTCGTCCGATTTGTCTTTTATTGTGCACCAAACGTGTAATATTAGCCCAAATGGGATGAAATTTGGCAGTTCCTACCAAATTGGGTCTAGAAACAAGTATGCCAAGTTCGGTGAAAATCGGTTCAGATATAGCTATAGCTCCCATATATATATAGTTAATCCGATTTGTTAAATCTGCACAGCCGTAATATGCACTCTGTAACAACGGTATTTGGGGAAATATATCAAATACAGCTCAGAAATACCTTTGCCAAATTCTATCGGTTCAGATTTGGATATAGCTTCCATACAGAATTTTATCCTATTTCATGTTAATTGTGCACCAAATGTCTAATACAAGCCCTCGGCAAATTTAGTAGAAATCTGGAAATCCTAAATCCTAAAAACTTTTATTTGTTATGTGAAGCTCTACTAAGCATGCAAAGCGGTTAGAGTATCATAAAGTCGACCCTTCCCGATTTTAAGTCTTTCTTCACTGGCTTTTCCATTAGGGTTTGGATTTTTTAATTGGAATAAAACTGATACTTATAATCTTCCAATTTTTAAGAAATAAAAAGTAAATTTATGAAAAGTTGAATTTTCCGACCTAAACAAAAAAAGCTAAATTCCAGCAGCTTTTCTTGACCTCTTTCCTCATCAAATTTTTATACGACTTATGAGCCCCTTTTGTATAGTGATTCGAAAGTGAACTCGAAAAACACCCATTCTTTGTATGTCTTTTAAATCTTTGATTTTTATTGTATTAAAAAAAATACCCACGAAAATGTTGTTTTTCTTTTGAATCTACTTTCCTACAGAAACATACCCTTAAATGCAAGGAAAAAACCCTAGCTCTAGCATAAAGCATATCTTTTTATGACTACGAAACCTCTGTATATTTGCTCTATGAAATTTAAACTGTATACCCCTTTATACTAAGTTTCTAAACGAACTCTTTTTAATTTCTTATATATTTCTTTTAATGTTTTACCATCTTTGTTTTTTTTTTTCTCTTTGTTATACTCTCATTAAAGAAATGTTTATTTTTTTCTTTTTCAAAATTTGTAAACAAAATTATGTGGCATTTTAAATGCCAACGTTTATATTTGTGTGTAGAACTTGTAATTGATGATCGATGACAATTATATATATATATTTTTATTATATTATTATTATCATTAATGTTTAGTTTATTATTTTAGTTTCTTATCATTATGATTATTATTATTATTATTATTACTGTAACTATTTGAGACTAATTTTTAATAAAGCAAACATTAATTAATCATTAATAACAAAATTATTTATAGTTTCAGTGTTTGACAAATTAATCCAGAAATCCAATTTTGTCTTATTTTTTCGAAATTGTAAAATTTTGGCGAACTTCGTTTGAAAATTTCGTTTGTATTTTGATAAAGTTGTAGAGTATCATTAGAGCAGCTAATATTTTTACTATGGCCAGAAGTAATTGGGTGAAGGAGGAAGTCTTTCAATAATTGTTTCGGATAGATAAAAGAGTTTCCAGGTTAAAAAACTTTGCAATATTAAAGACATTCAGGTTTTTTTTCTAAAGCGAATTGAAAGTGGTTTTTTAAAATTGGATCTTCCCTAGAGGCTTTCAAAAGCTGGGATTAAAAATTATGTTGCTTCCATTACTGGTGACTATCGCATAAAATGGTTTGTTACTGGTTGTAGGAAAATATGGAATATGTTGGATGGTATACCAGAATGATGGGGAAAAAATCTGGCTGGTCGCCTTTGAGTTATATATATTTCTTAATTTTTTTTGCGGGAAAACTAAAAAGTCTTAGATGTCTCCAAAAAATTCTTAAATGGTTATGAAACAGATCTGGCGATACAGAGGTCAGGCAGCTTTGAATCATATTCTCATTTGATATTTAAAAACCTTCTCTTGAAATGAATTCAGGTTTACATAGATTTAATTCAAAATATCGATTTATATCGCTGGACCTCTCTCTCTAGATCATGCAGGTCCTTCCTGAAACGCCTGGGTGGGCTAGTTCTGTCCACCATATGGTAATTAGGATGATTGCCACGATAACACCCAAGCAGGTACTGCAACGAAAGCATATGATTATGCTGACGTAAGGGAAGAACCTTCGTCTCCTCATGTAAATGGTACACAGGGGTCATGAGGAGGCACCCTGTTGCAGTTCTCAGTGCGGCATTCTGACAGGTCTGAATATTTTTTCCACTGCTTTGCACTTGTATTCGTAGACCACACTGGAGCCGCATACCTAACCACAGACCGACCTATCGCTTTATAAGAGGTCAACAAGGTTTTCTTATCCGCACCCCAAAAGTGCCGGCTAGCGTCTTGAGGATCTTGTTCCTACTTTTCAGCTTATCGCAGATAGCTGTGGCTTGGGCGGAAGACTTGAACATGCTATCGAATGTGACCCCAAGGATTTTGGGGTACATTCAGCTGTGCTCGCATCTCCGCAGTCCATGTGGTAAATAGTGTAGCCTTTGATTTAGTGGCGGATATTTTTCATATTCCTCGCATGGAAGAAGGCAGCAAGCTCAGGCAAGAAATCGGATGCTTATTTCGGATTTTATGATCGTTTTGGTTATGGGAAACTTTGACCCTTTGTAGGGAAGGTACCAGAAGGAATGATCCGATCTCTACCATCTTTATAACAGATCTTGTGTTGTTGGAAATATTGAGATGTGCCAAGTCTGAATGGAATTGGATGTTAATTTCGTGTTTTATGAGCATCCTGAATATTCAAAATTTTGATCCTTTGTGGGGGAGGTACCAGAAGGGCGGACCGATATATCCTATCTTCACACCAGACCATGGGTTAATAAAAATATTGTGATGTATGTAATTTGAGGACAATCGGATACTTACATCACATTTTATAAGAGTTCTGATTATTCAAAATGTTAACCCTTTGTGGGGGAAGTACTGGATGGAGTGGAACAATATTGTCGATTTTAGCGACACAATTCACCGGAATTCTTTCAAATTTGGTACTTGAAGTTTGTGATGGATACTACAGCCTAAGACCGAAAATTGTCTGTGCAGGTCCATGTGTTCGTATAGACCCTATGCAACGGTACCTTCCGATATTCGGTATTTTAAATATTTAAACTAAATTATTCAACGAAGTTGTTTTAAATTTCGTATTTTTCGTAATGGATACTACAGCCTTTGACAGAACATTATCTGTGCAGGTCCACGACTTCGTATAGTCCCCATATAATAGCACCTCCCTATACTCAGTATTTTGATGATTTTAGCGACATTATTCACCGGAATTGTTTCAAATTTGGTATTTGAAGTTAGTAATGTATACTACAGCCTATAAGAGAAAATTGTCTGTGCAGGTCCTCGCTTTGGTATAGCCTCCATATAACGGCACCTCCCGATATTCGATATTTTGATGATTTTAGCTACATTATTCGCCGGAATAGTTTCAAATATGGTATTTGAAGTTCGTAATGGATACTACAGCCTATGGCAGAAAATCGTCTGTGCAGGTGCAGGCATTCTTATAGACTCCATATAATGGTACCTTCCGATATTCGGTATTTTGATGATTTTAGCTACATTATTCACCGGAATAGATTCGAATTTGGTATTTGAAGTTCTCAAAAGATATTACAGCCTAAGGCAGAAAATTGTCTGTACAGGTACCAGTCATCGTATAGCCCTCATATAACAGTACCTCCCGATATTCGGTATTTTGATGATTTTAGTGGAACTATTCTCCGGAATTGTTTCAAATTTGGTATTTGAAGTTCGTAATGGATACTACAGCCTATGGCAGAAAATCGTCTGTGCAGGTGCACGCATTCTTATAGCCTCCATATAATGGTACCTTCCGATATTCGGTATTTTGATGATTTTAGCGACATTATTCTCCGGATAAGTTTCAAATTTGGTATTTAAAGTTCGTAATGGATACTACAGCCTTTGACAGAATATTATCTGTGCAGGTCCACGACTTCGTATAGCCCCCATATAATAGCACCTCCCTATACTCGGTATTTTGATGATTTTAGCGACATTATTCACCGGAATTGTTTCAAATTTGGTATTTGAAGTTCGCAAGAGATATTACAGCCTAAGACAGAAAATCGTCTGTGCAGGTGCACGCATTCTTATAGCCTCCATATAATGGTACCTTCCGATATTCGGTATTTTGATTATTTTAGCAACATTATTCACCGGATTTGTTTCAAATTTGGCATTTGAAGTTCGTAATGAATACTGCAGCCTACGGCAGAAAATTGTCTGTGCAGGTCCTCGCTTTGGTATAGCCCCCATATAACGGCACCTCCAGATATTCGATATTTTCATGATTTTAGCGGCATTATTCAACGGAATGGTTTCAAATTTGGTATTTGAAGTTCGTAAT